CGGCCCCACGTGCTCGGTGTGAAAGACAAAGATGGCCTTTCACGTCGTTTTACACGGCGAGTCGCGGCTTCCTCTCCCTCTCCCTCTCCTCTCCTCTCCTCTCCTCTCCTCTCTTCTCTCCCTCACGCTCTCGACGGCTTTCTTCCGGCGAGTCACGACCTTGCATCTTTTTCGCTCTTTTTTTTCTATGTGCAATATTTACGCCAAGTCCCGTTGAGCTTCATTCATATCCACGCGGAGACGCGGCGGCAGGTGTTGCTGGCGCGGCGGATATAAATACGTATCGCTCGTAGGTATTACAACAGGGGCTCTTAACCTATGGATTATGACCCACAGCCGTGGGTCGAAGCGATCTTTTAATAGAGTGGAATTTCCTCCTACACACGCCGTCGTGATTCAGCACATCGACCGACGCGCGACCAACGCGATGAAGAATGCTGATCCGACCGACTCGCACTCGTGCCGATGCTAATTCCTCTCTGTATTCGCTCTTTCTCTCTTTCTGCTTGCCTTTTCTCTCTCTCTCTCTCTCTCTCTCTCTCTCTCTCTCGTTTCCTCTGCCTCCTAAGCTGATCCGGCTCTTAAATCGAAAACGGCTCGTCGGATCGCCAGTCGAAGATCTCTCAGCGGAACAGAATGGGTATCGATGTCCGATGATATTAAAACGCGGACGAACGGAAAAGGATTGCGAGGCCCGAGCAGAAGAAGAATGTGGGAGGAAGAGGGGCAGAGAAAAATTACCGAGAGCAATCATCGCGTGTGTTTGCCGAAATGCAGATCGTGCTGCTACATCTCGTGAATGCGAAGCGCATTTTTTTCTATTTAATCTCACGAACCGACGAACTCGATCTTCCGCGCTATATAAAGTTGTCTATCTGCGCGTGCTTCATCGTATGGTTTAATCGACTAGAATGCGCTGATTGGACTGAATAATGGTCACGAAGCTGATATGTCTGTACTTTGTCTGGAGTCCGGGCGGAAAAAGGTTAAGAACCGCTGTTGCCGAGCTGGTGGTAGTAGACAAAGGAGCACCTCGTGTCTGTCTAACTTGAAATCACGTCATTGACCGGAGGGAAAGAAAGAGAGAGAGAGAGAGAGAGAGAGAGAGAGAGAGAGGGGGGGGGAGTGAGCGAGAGAGAACCAGAATACAGCTTCTGCCGTAGCGGCCGCGCGAGCGCGTCCCACGCGTGTGTGCGTGAGAGTATGTCTTCATGGCATAACGTCGTCGCGCCAGGCTGCTGTTGCTGTTGCTCGGTTCCTTTGCTAAGCGAGGGCGAAGTAATGAGAAAGAGCTGAGCGTGTGGAGGGAAGACGTGAAACGCGATGTATACCACGTGCGAGCTAACTGCGCGAAATCAGTAGCTTCATGGACACTTTGTCCACTTCCTCATGCGACACTTCGTTGGGCATTCCGTCTAGTTGACGGACAATTAATCGTCCACAATATTAGATGTGCATAACTTAACAAAAATTCTCTATTTCGGGACATGACAGAATTCATTGTTTAGAAAAATTACGTACGACAAATATGAAAAAGTAATTTCTTGCGTACATCAAAATGATACAAATGCAAAAGAGATGAGATAATCTCAACGTTTCTTTTGTAAAGACATTATGAGCAATGTCAAATTCTGTTAAATTACACAAACAAGTGTAAACAAGAGACCGATTCAACGGCAGTCATTAGAAACGCTAGAGACAAGATAGAGATAAAGATAAGGATTGGAGGAAAAAATGTAAACGGTGGAATAGAACAATGAAGAAGTGTGTCGTTGACGATGAGATATCACGGGCGAAGAAGCGTAATGGACGACGAAATGTCTAAAGAAGTATCTGTGAGCAAGTGTCGGACGATAAAATGGCAAACGATCAAGTGACCGGATACCAATCAGTATGCCCTGCTAGACTTCTTCAAGATCTCAACGCTGCACCGTTAGGAGGTGTCCAGGGTCGTTTCTTGCGGAAGTGGCGCGAGGTCGAGTTTTTTCCGCGCTATAAATTAACGTCGTTTCGACGAGGAAGTAAGTTATCGACTCGCCCGCACATCGCGGCGAGTGCGCGCATAAAAGAATAAAGAACGATAACATGTCAAAGTGCACTGATTATTCGTGCCAGCGATTCGTCGCAGCGATTCGGAAATCGATTGGTCCGCGGGCTATTTGCGATTTAGTTGGCGTTTACTGTCGGAGGTACGAGCGAACGTAGCGAGGATAACGAGTCTTTTCTTAATTTGCGCGCGCGCATGGATCGTTAAATCCTAACGGCTTTCCGCACTGTCATCGCGTTTATGGCTAAATTTACGCGGCGTATTGGATTATCGCGTTAATTAATAACAGCGTAAAAAGCAGCGCGTTTGCAACGGTGCAACGCCGATGTCGCCGTACTAGCCCAGCCCTTCTCAGCTCCGAGCGCAGCAGCAGCAGAGGAGGAGGCGGAGGCACCTTTTTGCTCGATATATTATCTGGGATTTATTAAGTAGCCGAGCGTTGCTTTACCTTATTACTCATACCTTAGATCGCTCGTATTGATTCGCGTGTGCTTCGCGCATTGCGTCATCAATTTCTTACGCACGCACGTAACACCAGCTGCGATGAGCGATAAAACGGAATTCAGAACGGTCGGTACTTTCGCCGAAGGTTTTATTATAATCCGCGCGATAGCAAAAGCGATGCGCTTTTCTCGATCGCGATCGCGAGCCTATTGGGCGGAGCTGCCAAATCGCCCAAATAAATTTAGTCCGCGGCAGGCGAGAGTGAGGGAGAAGAAAGAGAGCAGAAAAAGAATGGAAGAGAGAAGATATACATGTACGAGCTAATGAGAGTTAGGCGCCGTTTCGCAACTTTCCGTTCGCGCAATTTAATTACGGCCACGTGGAAGAAGTTAATGAAGTAAATAACCGCCAGTTTCATACATTATTCAACCGAGTTAGACAACATCTCGCACGCCCGATTTACGAACTTTTCTGCCCCCCGCGCCTTCTCGCCCAACTCGGTTTCCCTCTTTCCTTCCCTGCTCGATCCCGTCCCGTTCCGTTCCGTTCCGTTCCGTTCCGTTCTCACACCCCATGGAAAAGTTCTCACGGCTGCATACATCGTCGAGAGCCAGGCGATCGGTTTACCACTTGGGCGAAAAACGCAACTTGCGCCATGCAGCGACCACCCACGCGAAACGCTCGCCTGGAAATTTCGAGCTGTTCTCGCCGCTCGAAAGAAAACACGGCGTGGCGGGACTCCGGCGTTCTTAAAGTTCCAATTGTACAGGAAGGTAAGAATTCTGTTTACGGAGGTAACAATTCTGTTTGCGAAGAACTGTCCGAGGTTGAAACTCGATCAAACTCGAGTCCTTGTAATCTTTCGTATTGCTTCGTCTTGCGTGTTTTACTTCCGACATTCCGAACTCCATCGAGGTGTAATTTTGCCCGTTTTGTTTCTCACGTAGTTCGAGTTACTCCTTGTTGCGGCTTTTTGTCAAGTCAATGGGACGAGCGGCGATTGATTTTTGGTTTCGTAATCAGAGATAAATCGGAGACGAGAATAGAAACGAACGCAAGTGATGAACATGGACTGTCACCCGTTTGCGATGCGCAGGAAAAATAGACAAAATCTGATTTGCAATCGTCGCCGACCTCATGTTGGATACACATGGATTAAATGATGTTGAAATGAACAAGTTTCAATAGATGGAGACCGCCGTCGATCGTGTCGAGTTGCGTACACGATGCAGAAAAAATCGGGCGACGTGACGTATGACAGAAGTGTCACTCCGAAACATAATCGATTTCCTGCGGCTCTCTAAAAAACTGTGCCGATGACAGTTCTAATAATGCAGTCGCGCACAAAATTCCGAAAATGCTTTGCGAATGTTGACTTTCAATGGGACGAAACGAGAGAGAAAAAACATTTAAATAATCGACAACTCGATGGCGTTTGGCACCCATTTAAAATTACTACATCGACGATCATTTTAGTAGCGCAGTCATTTATACAAAAGAGAGGCGTGTGTAAATAAATAGAGAGAGATAAGGAGAGAGAGGGAGAGAGAGGCAGAGAGAGAGAGAGAGAGAGAGAGAGAGGGAGACTAATTAACTTTATCTCGTTAAATCTTTTCCGGAATTTATGGCACTCGAATTTTTTGTTTCATTAATTTTTTTTAAAAAAGAAATTTAATTTCCACGGGTACGTGGCAAAGTAAACAATTTACTTTGTTATCCGGCATTACGACATTCTCAGCGATTTCGCCGGCGACACGGTCAACAAACAGCACGCGCTTTTGATCTCGTCAAAAGATATTGGTACGAGTCTATTAAACGTCGCTCTATTAGTATAACTTAATGACTCACGCCAACATTTCTGACGCGGTCGTCGTAGCTTTTTCCTCTCCGCCGTATAATTTCTTTAAACAATATTTTCTCTCTCTCTCTCTCTCTCTCTCTCACGCGCGCGCGCGTACACGCACAGAATTTATTAAAAAAAAAAAAAAAAAAAAAAAAAAAAAAAAAAATTTCACGATAGAGGTAAACGGGAACAGTACACAGTCGTACGAGAAAAAACGAGCGGAATAACGTCAAGTGAAAAAGCCGAGAAACACTTGATCGCTCGTGCCGACGAGCGAGGCTCTCCGCGAATGCTTCACCGGAGGAAGACTCTTAACCGCAGGCAATCGGTTGCGTTTCACGATGCCATGGAGCACGTTGCACAATCATTGCAGCCGCGACGAGCATTCGCTGCATTGAAATTTCCCGTCGCGTCACACTCGGCGCGTACATAAGCGCGGTGTTGTGTACGAGCGAGTACATTTAACACACGGTTCTCTCTCGCTCGTTCTCGCTCGTTCTCGCTCGCTCGCACGGCTGCGCCTCCGCGCGGTCGTTCCTACAGGAAAGTCCAAGGACACGCGGGGTCGTGGCTCACATCCGTGACGTCACGCCGGGGCGTCGAGCGGGTGGAAGCGAAAGGAAAGGACCAGAACAATATAAACCGGTACGCCGTAGAATGTCATACCTGAGACAAATCGGAGTCGTCTCGAATCTTGGCGTCCATGGTCACCTGGCTGGCGCGGATCCTCGGCGCCGCGACGGCCAGGACGGCGAACAAGAACGTCGTCAGCATCGTCCTCGACGGTTTTCTTCGCGGCAGGCACACGAGACAATTTCACTGATCACACTCGCGAGGTACTAACGTTCACCACGTGACACGCAACGCAAAATTTCTCACGGCCGTTCGCGATCCCGATCGATCATCGATACGTCACCGTATCGTTGAAGAGAGTCAATGCGTCACTGACGCGCGGTAACGCGAGGCCGCGTCGAACGTCCGCAGACCGGATGTTCTCCACGTACACCGTAACCGGAGCGGAAGAGCGGATTCCTCGCGTGCTCCGATTCGAGCAAATCGTCGATTGATGAGCGAACGCGAGACGCGAAACCGCGCGACCGTCCTTCTCCCTCTCTCTTTCTCTATCTCACTCTCTCTCTCTCTCTCTCTCTCTCCTCTTTTTCTTCTCTCCTCGTCTCTCCTCTCTCTTTCTCTCTCTCTCTCTCTCTTACGCCGCACTCTTTCCGCTCGACGTGTCAACGATACGGAGGATAGCGCGGTACTGCGCCCTCTCCATGCCTGGACCTCTCTTACCCCCACCAGCCGCGCGTCGGAACGAGTCTTTGGCGTGGGTTGCCCGCAGCCGAGTTTCCCCCTCCAATGTCGCACCCCTCCCGCGTGCGCGACCGTCGAGCACGTGACGTCACCCACCTTTTCCTACCGTGATCGTGCCGCTCGCGGATTCCGCGTAGATATCTTTATAATTTTTATCCATAGACCCTTCTCCCCCCCCCCCACCCGGCTCGCACGCTGCCCGATATTATACGCGGCGGTATAACATTCCGCTAAAGCGGAAACGCCGAGCGGGACGAATTAACACCTGTCTCTATGTGCATTTAGCTTGGACTTGGTGGCATGTCGCCTATTGGATTGACATTAGACGCAGCTTTGACGGGCGACGAGATTGATACATCGTACGCTTCGAAAATCGAAACGATCTATTCTTGACGGGAAATATCGGAGACGTGGAAGAAATTGTGATGACGTGAGAGAAAAAGAATGTTACTGACAAATCGTGCTTGAAGGACGTAAACAGATAACGACACCTCCTTTCTCAAGCAATTTTAAAGGAATTTTCCTCCGAGAGTTCTAACTTGGAACATAGTTATTCAGATATTCGATATTAAAACTTTCTTAAAACTGCGCGCGAGGGATTGTGGCAACCACTTAAGTTTTAATAAAAGAGGGGAGAAATTATTTTAGTTTTTTAACGAAGAATGCAGCTCGGTTTACCGAATGTATTATCGAACGCTTCGTGTATCTTACGCGTACAAAAACTTAAAATCAATAAATAGAGAAAAGGTGAAAGAGGGGAGGAGCAAGACAGAGAGAGAGAGAGAGAGAGAGAGAGAGAGAGAGAGAGAGAGAGAGAGAGAGAGAGAGAGAGAGGGAGAGAGAGAGAGAGAGAGAGAGAGAGAGAGAGAGAGAGAGAGAGAGAGAGAGAGAGAGAGGAGAGAAAAGATCGTGTCGTAAGAAACGCGAAACAAAGTTCTTGATTACTGTTCGAAGGGCTTGATATAATCTGCTGCTTGCATCGACGATGGTTGAATAAAGTTTCTTACAACCAGCTCTCTCTCTCTCTTTCTCTCTCTCTCTCTCTTTCTTCGCGATACCAACAGCGTTGAAACAAAGATAATATGGCTACGTTCTTCAGTCTGGAAGAATTAAGTGGATGAATTGAATTATCTTTTTTAGAGTGTAAGCTAAATTGTAAGCCCTATAACTTACAGTTTAAAGGGACCGCTACGAGAGATAGGATAGCCGCGGCTAGATTGTACTATATGTTCTCGGATAAAGTTCCCGCGCTCTATTTACGCTCGCCGTATAAATTCCGTGGAGAGAAAAAAGGAATTCCGTAAGTGATACAAATAAATTCGCACTGGAAGTGAAACGTATGACGCGCAAATGCACGGGGTATCGGGCCTCTGATGAGAACTCGAGATTAAATCATAAGATGCATCGTTCACGCTCAATCTCTCTCTCTCTCTCTCTCTCTCTCTCTCTCTCTCTCTCTCTCTCTTTTTCTTTCTGTTTGCTCGAGACAAGCCATTATCGCTGGCAGGTTATTAGCTTACAATTTCGTACAAGTGGCTACGAACGCTTCTCGTTCTACCGTATTACACCGAGGAGGTGGGATCGTCGAGGAGGAGGTGAAGTGCAATGCGCTATCGAATTCGAGGCGATATAATTGGCAACTCTAACAGAAGTTCGCGGGGTATTTACCGACTAGAGTGGACTTGGACCGATTCTCGAAACCACTTGAGGCTACGCGGATTAAGGAAAGATCCCGATCGCGAATATAAACCCAAAGGTTCATTCCGGACTTCCTCTGTATTGTCCTCTTCTCCGTCTCTCTCTCTCTCTCTCTCTCCCTCTCTCTCTCTCTCTCTCTCTCTCTCTTTCTCTCTATCTCTCTTGTACAAACGGATTACCGCGTTAAGTTCACCTCCGCCGTTCGCCGTTTCGTTCCGCCCGCGCGGTAATTAGTAGTTTGAATACGCCTCTTTCAGCCTGACAACGACTACCGCGCGGCGAAGCTCTCTGCTCTTTCGGGTTCGCCGAAACACGTGCACTCGTGATCGGTGACATGGTGTTACCGTCGCCGTCGCAAAATATGCTTTCACGACGCGATGCAACGCGATGCGGTGTGACGCGCTCGGGGCGCGCCCAGGGTGCCAGAGTTCGGCAAATTTCATCGGCGATGCAGAATTAATCGGCTGGAAATATGTTTTCCCGCCGGAGTTTGGCAAATGTTGGCTAACGAATAACAGTTTGTGTGTACAAGGAAGGAATATTTAGTTATTAATACACAAATGTACGCCCACGCGCCGCTCCTCTCGCCGGCGGCGATATTTACGAGCGCGCTCGCGTGCGTTTTCAAAAGTATACCAGAAAATGAATTGTGTTACACACTCCCATTTCTGTGCTGATGAAACACGGCGATATTTTATATTCTTCGTTACAGCGAATCTCCATTAGGAATCTCCGCAAAGAGGGCGTTAATTTTCCGAGGGCGAGGCGCATTCTACGCGCGTAAGCCGAACGCGAATAGAGGCGGACGGATTCTCCAACGTCGCGCGATTTATGGATACAGTAATCGAAGATCGTGCAATTTCAAGCGTCAAGGTTTGAAAGCTCTCCCGGTATAGCCCGTGACGTCCCGAAAGCCCTAAGGGCGTCGACCCTCAATTACGAATCTCACAACCTCGGGCCTTCGGAGCAGGTTATCGTCGGAGAAGCTCGGTCGCTCGCTCGCCCCTTAAAGACGAAACAAACTCGGCCATGAAAAGAAAAGTTAAGTGCTCGTGACACCCCCACGGTGTAGCTCCTCTCACGTCCACCATTTTTCTCGACCGACCATAATCCTCCAGGAGCGGCGTAATTTTTAATTACTTGCCAGCGAGTCTCTCGCACACGACATTTTCTTGCGCGTCGATTTCCCCCGCTCACTTCCTCCTCCTTCTCTCGTCTTGCACGCTAATAATGGAATTAGTTGACCGACGAGCTGAGTTTATTCTCAGACAATTAGTTCGCGTCTCGCCGCCTCGGCCGATTTTGTGAACGCGAGAGGAAATGGTTTATTCCAGAGGAACTAATTATTTGTCTATGAAGCGATCGCATGGCGAGATATTCAAGGTTGCAAAGCCGCAGGAGGATCCGCGGAGTGAAGCTTCTTTCAATTCAGAGCATTAAACATCCTGCAGTGTGGAATTTCGAAAATATGCTATATTATGGAATATAACAGTAGACACGATTTCCAAGTTGTATACAAGTTACTCACGTTTAATGCTATACATGTTTCATTGAGAAGTCCCACGGAAATTCTCCTTCCTCTCTGATGCGTACGTAATTGCCCGCGACAGTAAAACTGCTTGTACGTGCGCGAATAATTCAAGGGCAAACCGCTTTATGAACACGAGAGGGAATTGTTTATCCGAGACGAACTATTTGTCGACAACGAAACGATCGCAGTTTCACAAGTCGAAGAACGAAGCGTTCTCTTTCAGATCAGGCTTAAATTCGCCGATCGTCAAATCGGACAATTCGAAAATTCCAAGTGCTTACTTATCCAGAAAGTCACAAATTCGCGTGTTCGAAAATGTTGCTGATTGAAAATGACAGCTGTTCCAACTTCCAAGCGATGCGCGCGCGCTTACCCCGAACGCTCGGCCGCGTGCTCGATCGAGAGAAGCCTCGTGCCAATTCTCCTTTCTCTCTGACACGTAATTACCCGCGACAGTAAAATCGCTCATACGCGCGCACGAGGATAATCCAACGCCAAATCGCGGGCTAATAGCTATCTCCGTGCCATTTCCGCTTCGGATCTCGGCCATGTGCCATGGCTGTATTCGCGAGGTACGGCCGACGCGTCGAGCGTTTTATCACCGCCGCAACGGGCTGTTATTTTTTCGAGAGCTGGGCCCTCCGCGCGCGAGTGAAGGCCCGCCGCTTTTGTTTTCGCCAACTGGAGCGACCTGGCCGATTAACTGACTGTCATCCAGCGATTCCAACCTCGTTGTGCAAAAAAAAGGGGAAAAAAGGGAAGGTCCGTTGTCCCTCTCGCCCCGCTTGTTCGTTCGTTCGTTCGTTCGTTCGTTCGTTCTTTCTCTCTCTCTCTCTCTCTCTCTCTCTTTTCGCTCCATCCATACGAGAAAATTTACGAAGGCGCGGGTAGTGTAACCACAGCGTGTAAAACGCTGTTCGAACGACGATGGCGTGCACGCGCGAAATTGCGAAGAATATTTTAAACGCGAGGTGCTCACACAGTGACGCGTGGGACGTGATTTTACGACTCCCGAAGAGAGTGGACGCACGAGCGAGGCGAGTGGCTTCCACTTATTACAATTTCGCGCGGTGCTAACGACGGTGCAAATTGTGCGGTCAATTAAGAATAATGCCCCGACCGGGAATAATTGCTGTCCATATTTAAACGCCCGTATTTCCACGTTATACGCTGCCCTCCCGACGATTGGACCGTCGATTCGCGTCTTCGGACTCTCGCAAAAATCGTGAGAACGCCAAATAATAGACTCCGCGATTCTCTTCTTTTTCCCGCGGAGTTTCAAATATACCTCTTTTTCCCAAAGATCTCCGAGAGCTCCCAGAATTCTCGGGGTTCCCCGATCTCTCTCTCTCTCTTTCTCTCTCTCTCTCTCTCTCTCTCTCTCTCTCTCTCTCTCTCTCTGTCTGTCCTAACCTCGGTTGCCTCCTTCGTCTTTCAATTATGGAGCCAACCCGCACCGCCCTGCTCGAAGAGGACGCATAAGACGACTCTTAGCACTGACGTCCCGAGCAACGTCGCACACTCAGGCTCTCCGGTAGCCAAAGTGGTGGCACAAAACTATCCCTGACGTGCGCGTTCATACCCCCCGGCGCATTAACGGCCGCGTAACCGTTTCTGAAGCGAGCGCACGGCGAGTGCGCGCCGGAAGGAAGGCCGGGTCGGGATCCGCAAGACGCGAGTAGTCCAAGTTTGCCTGTTCGCCACTTCCGCCGACGAAAGCCACCCGCCGCGCCACGGGGGCTGAGGAGCGTC